TGAGTACTTGGAGGAAAAGGAGAAACAGCGACTGCGTGACCTAGGGGAGTTGACAGATGAGGAGCCCGAAGAAAAACAGGAACCAGAGCAATCGCAAACTTCCCAGGGAGACCAGAAGATCCGCGTGTTGTTCAAGGCAAAAGATCAACAGCATACGAGAGCGACAGTACGCTCCAGCACCACGGCTGCTCAGCTAGTCAAGGTGTATCGACGGCTCGCGAACATTCCGGAGAGCAAGACTATCGAGCTTCATTGGGATGGTGAGGCCTTGGATTCGGACACCACAGTAGGAGAGGCGGATATCGTAGATATGGATTCCCTCGAAGTCCATATCAAGTGAGATGACAAGGGAGTCAAGAGACAATTATTATCCTTGCAAACGAGGTATCAAGTCTTAGTTATTGTAATATGACGAAGGTAGGGAGGCATGCCTGATAAGTAACAGACGCCCATCACGAAATATAGCATACGGCTCATGATACCCACGATATTCTTAGAGGCTTGGTGGCTCTACTAAGAGACACTTTTCTTTATGTCTCATAATCTACGAAGTACAAATAAAACCTGCTTTGATTCCAGACCAGAACGCCGTCCCATGAGATGCAAAATCGACCCGAAATTAGAACCTCTCCTTCATCCTCGCAGATACGGTGCGTAGATTGTTGTAAACCTTGCCGGGAGGCTTACCCAATATTAGACTCACTATAGATTCACGGGCTATGTGGATGTTCTTGAACCCTACATTCCAATGCGTTAGCGAGGTTCAGCCAGCTAGGTACTTAAAAATGTAGGGCGTAGAGTAACGGTTTAAGGCCCCCCCTATTTCTATATATCTTACCTCCTAGAATGTGGATCTTGGAATCAGCCAGCACGACTCTCGTGCGCGACGCATTCTCAATGGCAAACTTAGTCTTGCCATCCTTACCCGCGATACGGCCGATAGCGCGGGCGAGATGGTCGCCGTTCAGGGTCTTGACGTCCTTGACCTCGAAGGTCTCGATGTAGAGGTCGTCGAGGCGCAGAAGGGCAATGGCGTCGTCGACATCGAAGCCCAGCGCGAAGGCGCGCACGAAGTCCTCTCCTTTCTGCAGCGCACCCGCGTCCGTGGTGTGGCGCGAAGTGCGCAGCTCGACTCGCTTGTGCTTGACGTTCATGCGCACCTGCAGCTTGAGGTGCTCGACGAGCGGCGGGTAGATCTTGGGCCAGGTGTTCTTGAGGGGCGTGAAGCGGTGCGGCGGGATGCCGACTTTGCGCGTTTGGATGTGTGCTGCGGGATCCTAGGTGGCGCTGTTAGATGGATGGGTGGATAGACGGTAGGTCTGTCGAAGGCGGAGACGGGGACGAAACATACTGTGTTTTGTACAGGCGCAAAGTGCGGCTTGTCCTCCTCGTCGATCTCCATACCATCTTCTCCTGTTGTCCGCGCTGGTTGGAGGATTGCGTTGGGGTCTTCGGGCAGCTCGTTCATGCCTTCTAATGTGAAGTCCTCGTCTTGGTCTGGCTCGGGAAGAGGGAGGTTGGATGGGGGGGTATCGTCTACCTGCTTAAGCAGGGCTGTCGGGGCAGGCATGGTGATGGGCGTCGTGAGGTAGTTCGTAGATGGTTTGCAGTTGGGCTCGGGATTGAGGTTCGTAGGTTGCTTTTTGCTTATAGGTCCGATTGCGAGGCTTGTATCTCAGTTCTCTCTTAAGACTTTAGCGATAGTTTTCTGGTGTCGCACTGGAAAAAAACCATGGTCCGTATTTGGTGGGCTATTTTCTTTATCGATAAGACCGACCCTTATTGCATACCTTGCATTAGGTATCAAGGTACCTTACCGGGCTAGCTGATATAAGCTTAGATGGGGGGTCAGTGGAGCAAAGGAACATGACAGTGGCGTTTTCAGGATGGAATGAGCGGCCACGGCTATCTTAGCGCGTACGATTTCAATCGCAGGTAACGTTATCAGTTATCAGTTATAACCGTTAGCCCGTTATGTCCGGTTATAGTGTACTGATGTACTAATGACGACTTTTTCTTCAAAGATTGAAGCCAAGCAAATTCTTGGATTGGAATTCATGCCTTTTCATACCCTATGCCTTCGTGCCTCGCGTCTTACCCCTCGAGCTGTTGGTCGTTAAGAACAAAAGCAGAAGGGTGACCTTGGCCTAAATTGTCCTTTTTTTATTCATTAGACTCATAGATCGCAGTTCTGTTGCGTTGCTGCTTTCGTCACTTATGGTTGATATCTTGTTCTGGTTTTAAATTTCAGAATGATGCCCTCATCATGAACCTCTACAATGTCTTTAGCAGCTAGGTCTTCAATCCTAGGCCAGGGGCGTCAGGCCTGGCGATCGCTTTACGAATTAGTCGATACATTCAGTTCGAAAGTGTCGCCGAGGCAGAACCTAATCAACCGTCTTGGGCCGCATCAAAGTACTTCGTTTTCCTCTATAGCGACCCCGCGGTTGTCAAAGCCTCCGTGGTCTTTTCCACAAGTTCCAAAGTCTTGTGGAAATAATGTTCGTCGCAGCTTTACCTCCAGTGGACTACTCTTGATCGGGCTCGCGTCACCATGTTCGACAACTTCTGCCGTTACTGTAAAATGTTCGGTAGCTGCGGACTCTGTTGTCCTCGGGAGCACGGGCCAAACGACGAACATTGGCAGGTTAGCAAGACAGGCATGGGTTAGAGACATACATACCACTACTCGGAGAAGAGTGGTAAGGGTCCATCGAAGAACGAAAACATCCAAGTCCAACACCGACAATGTGAGCTCTGCCATCTCTCAGCAGAAGAATGGACCTTCGTCGCAATCCGCTTCGAGTGCGAAGCCTAACACAAAGCCCGATGCAGGTCCACCTGAAGCGGAGTCTACGTCTGCGTCTGTGTCCAAGTATTTTCATCTACCTACAATGCCGCACCTACCACATCGACCCACGAAAGAGGAGTTCTTAGCTGCCGCCAATGGCTTTTGGGAACGGTTGAAGGTTCGTTTTAAGTGGTTCTCTATCAGAAGCATGAGACCGTGGAATATAGATGAGTGGGGTGCTTTTGTGTCCTGGTTTCTGTTTGGTCATCTAGTCTGGATTCTAGTCGGCACAACAACTTTCTTCTCGCTGGGCATACTCTTTATTAACACTGTTTTTGCGCAAGGTAAGAATATGATCCTCTCGGAGGTGCTGCAACCCAACTAACGCACCCTAGAAACATTGGCAAAATGGGTCGGCGATTATTTGACCGAGTCTGCTGGTGTCACTGTGGTTTTCGAGTCTGCTATCGTTCCTAGGTGGAAGGACGGTGTCATCTCCTTCAGGAATGTATTCGTCTCCCGAAGGCCAGGCCAAGTCAAGTCTTCTGTCAGCAAGGGATCATCATCTAACGCCGCTGCAGTTGCCGCTGCTGAAAGAGGAACCGATAAGGAGATCCCCGCTCCTGTTGAAGTAGACGATGGCAACTATACACAATTTGACCTTACGTTAAATGCGGTTAATGTTACGCTCTCGTTCGTCAAGTGGTGGAATGGTAGGGGTCTACTTAAAGATGTTGAGATCAAAGGTGTTCGAGGAGTTGTGGATAGGACCTCAGTGAGGTGGTCCAGCGAGCCTGCTGATCCTTTATCATACCGCCATGAGCACAATCCTGGCGATTTTGAAATCGACTCGTTCAAACTAGAGGACTTACTCCTCACTATTCACCAACCGGGCGGGTTTCGACCTTTCCCTGTGAGTATCTACTCCTGCGAACTTCCTCAGTTAAGGAAACAGTTCCTGTTTTACGACTTTTTAGCCGCCACGCATATGTCTGGATCATATGATGGCTCACTCTTCACGATACATCCTCGCCAGATCCACGGCGTTCCTGCTGGCCGCGAGTACATGACATCCGATCCATTAGGGGAACCAAATGTCTGGAAAAAGCACAGCCGCATCCGGATAGACGGACTGAGGATTGATCATCTCAATCGGGGAGTCGAGGGTCCTTTTGGGTGGATTTACGAAGGCAATGTTGATATTGTCGCCGATATAAGATTCCCAGCCGATGACGACGACGGTATCACAAAGGTGATGTCTGAATTCTACGACCGGCTCGAGGAAGCAGTTACGTCAAACCGCTACATTCGTATTCTTGATCTTGACAAGCCCCGTCGACAAGAAGAGGTTATTTTTAACGCCCCAAGTCACTTGCATTCTAACGAGGAAGCAAACGAGGTCAATGGTACTACTACCCCCATTAGCCCCCAATCTAACAGCAGTCCAACCCAAACACAATCTACCCCATTAGCCTCGTCGGCTTCCGACGAGGAACCCCCGCGATACCTTGTTATGGATCTACGTATCCACTTAAACGACGTGAAGGCCACCGTCCCCGTCTTCACGTCCAACCTATCGTACGTAAACCAAGCGCTAGTACGGCCCATCGTGGCATACATCAACGCGAAGCGCACGTACATCCCTATAAGCTGCCGTATTGTGAAGCGGGCCTCCGACTTTGACGGTTCCTGGACTATCTACGACTGTGGGCTCATGGACGATGCCTCCGCCGAGATGTATACCGCCTTCGCCCGCGACGTCGAGGATCAGCAGAGCCGCGTCCGCCGCCTCAAGAAGGTCGGCTTCTGGACCCTAAGTCTCGCCGTTCACGCCCTCTTCATGGGCATGGCTGGAAACGTCATATAAACAAGACGCCGGGATAGCTCCTCTTCTCTCTCCTTTACCCCTATGTACATAAAACGGCTATGAAATGGATTATGTGATGAACGGGAGTATGTATGTATGGGAAGACGGGGGGGGATGGGGGAAAATAGGGTTCGCGTGTGACTTATATTCGGAGGGTTAGGACATATCATTTATCTACGCAGGTATGGAGTTATCATGGCGTCTGGAGTAGTTGGTTTTATCCGTAGATCACATTCTTGTTTGGATCGTCCTTGAGAGGAGTCGGAAATACCCCACTTAAGTAGTAGAAGTAAATATAAAAATCAACATCTACATAACGAAGTAGGATATTCACGTATGAGTTACGAAAAAGGTATCGCATTGGTGTAAATTTCCGCAAATTTGAATTAACCATTGGAGGTACGTAAGCCTCATTTATCTGCATTCTCGTCTCGAGGCCACACAATACTCCAACCGATCAACCAACCAAACCCACCAGCCTCGTCACCAGATCCCACAGCATAGCTCGGCTCGACTCGGTCTATTGGCACAACGCAAATGCAAGTTAGAGTCCCCCATAGCCAAGTCAGTATAACCTCGACTTGGCCAGGCCTAACGTGGCTGCGAATTGATCGTTGCATGTCCACCAGTTTCCATAGGCTAGTTCACACATCGTCACTAATCATCACCATAGCTTATCTCGAATTAAACCTCGGCTCGGGGCACTCGAGGGGTAGAGGGAGGTGGAGGGTAAAGTAGGGGGGGAGGGCAACTGGTATTCGGCAACCTATATTAGAAATTCAAAATGCCCATTGTTGCATGCAGGGGATATAGCTCCAAACGTCCACCACGGCAGGCCTGTGGAAGGGGGCAGCCCATGCGAAGGTATGTAAAGGTACCGTGACAAAGGCCACGATATTTGAATCTCATTTGTGTTCTTCACATAAAGTCCTCACTAGGTAGGCTGTTAGTTACAAGGAACACGTACGAAGCATCATGACAACTCACTCTCCGAAGTCCTCTTCATAGGTACCGACATCTGTAGTGTTGGCCCTGCTGGTCACCAGTATGGTCTTGGTTTTCTGTGCCTTTGTCTTCTTGCCGCCCTTCTCAGCTGCCTTCTCTTCCTTCATCTTTTCATTGCTAAGAGTAGTGAGGGTGCTGGCAACCTTCTTGATCTGATCGCTAGGTAGGTCCTTGGCAAGTTGCTTAGCAAATTCCTGGAGGAACAAGCCGTAATGTGCCTTCTTGTGATTCCCGGCTAAAATTGGGACTATCGTATTGCGCAGGGTCTCGAATTGTGTCTTAGTCTGGGGGTTGAAAAGAGGTAGAGTACCGAGATCGACGGTCTTGGTAGGGTCTTGGGGATCAATAGGTACGGCAGAGCCAACAGTAGTAGCCTTGCGCCCGTTGCTAAGACTGATACCAGCATCGCCAAAAAGATCTTCGGCGTGCTTCAGATCGGATTCCTTCTCAGTGCGGCGTATTCGTTCGCGTCGCTCGGCTTCGTCCTCATCTTCTGATACGTCGGAGCCTGCAGCTAGGCGGCGCGCACGCTCAGCCTTGTGCTCGGCGATGCGTTGGGCCTTAGACTTCTTGTTAGCAGCAGCTTCGGCATCAGCCTTGGCCTTGGCCTCAGCTGCCTTCTTGGCCTTCTCGCGCTCGGCCTCTGAATCTTCAGCAGCATCCCACGATTCAAGGACCTGGAAGTGGTAAGTTAGTATGATAGGATCAACCAAGTCAGTATATTAGCAATCCCGACTTACATCACTATCCTCGCCCTCTTCATCATCAAACTTGCTACGACGGATACCGCCGACAACGGGGGAAGTTGGAGGAGTACTGGACTCATCGTCCTCGTCATCTATATGCAAAAGAGTGGTTAGTCAAGATCAGCCGGGTTGGTTTAGAGTAGCGGTTGCAGATGCGCATGTGTCGCATCAATAGATGTCGAAGCAGTCCAATAGACGGGGAACAATAGACGCAGTGAAGGTCCACCATGTCATATCAGATATGGCTTTTCCATAGATCTAGAAGGTTATAATGCGCCTCATTGTAGATGCCATGTGGTGATACAACTAGCCAATGTAGCAACTTCGAGGGGGAGCCCTTTTTCTATGTAAACATAATATAAGGAGATAGGAACTTACCCCACTGCTTCTTAGGAGGCATCGTGAATGGATTAGGGTTGATCTACTTTTAAGAAGATCTGGAAAATTCGAAATTTGGAGGGAAAAAGAAAGCGTCGGTTGTCGATTGCAATAAAGGTTATCGAAGAAGATATGAGCGAAAGAAAGGATAGGTGGGGAGTGGAAAAGTTGACTTAATGGGAACTGGTTGTTGGTGGAGATTGGGCATAAAATAAAAAAGCGAGGTATTTCTAGCTTTGCCTAAAATTTTGTGCGGTGCTGTGCGTTACGGGACTACTGAAAGTTACAAGTGACACCACTATCGGATTCGAGTCTACAGGGCTCTTGCTGCATTTATTACATTAACTTTAAGTGTGCATTTTATGTCAGAAGCATTATGAATTGACGTTATGAACAATAAATTTCTGTCTTTTGTACATACATATTCTGTACTACATGCGAATGAGGTACATGTACCTATGTAAATCGGCTGGACGCGGGGTGCGGGGCATTGAATTCTTTCAGCTTCCAAATCTTTATTTATTTCTAGACCCATGTACCCAACGGCGTCATCACTAAGGAATTCCGATCTATGCATATGTTGGCGTCTGGATTCAATATCTGAAAATAGATCGTCCCGTACCTTATTTACGTGCCTCTCATTACCTACCTAAGATTTTAAACATCAACCCACATGCATATAATCAGCCACACTTTACAATTAAAGATAGAAATCAACATTTAGGTTGGCAATCTATCTTTGCTGTCTGGATTAAGGTACTAAGAGACACATATGCCTTTAACATTAGGTAGCTTCTTTTTAAGAGGGCTTAGCTATAGGTCTATACATGATGAATCTCAATGCAAATATTAAGAAGTCCAACATGGGTATCCCAAACCTTCTATCTTAAAATAACTATCATAATATTAAACCCGAGTATGGACTAAGAATAGACCAAAAGATAATCTACAAGTCGACAAGTATGTAAACAATCTGCGGCAACACAAAATAATTGGATCTCAATTGCATAGGATGCGCTATATGTCATGCTGAAATTAAAGGTGCAATGAGGTAATTCTAAGGGGTGTACGGAATACATTAACCTAGGTACTTAGGTAGAATTAACAAATGGCTTAGGTATGGAGATAAGTATAACTTCATTTTTGTGTCGCGTGCATGAAAGAAGGAAAAGAGGAACATGTACCACCATTCCGATGTTCGTATTTTTGGTAAGTCTGAGTCACTTGAAATTGAAGGCCACGCGCTAGACCTCTAAGAGCATTCTGACAGTTAAGAAAGAATCCGCCCAAGTTAGCATCTTCCAAGTTCCCTCTAACAAGCAATATACCTCTCAAGCTTTATCTTTCAAAAATTTATCAATAGAAATTTTTCAAAGCATCTCTAAGTTCTAGGTCATAAATTATGGAGCTCAGTGACTACAATCTCCATCGGTTTGTTTCTTCCCTTCGCCGGTCTAATTAATGCTAAAGCGATTCTTAATGATAAGAATTGGGGTACATGCGGCCTGCCGAAGGGATAATAGAGCCCTGAATATCGCCGACAGCCGCTAAGACGAAGCCGTCTCCCGTCCGAAAATGTACCGGAACGCCCCATTTCTCATATCGCTAAGCCCCTATAATTCCCGACTTACAAGACCACCTGACTGTATCAAACAGACCCCCAGCGATTAAAATGTTTCGTACTACGGATCCGTTTACATAGGTAGGTACTCAGTAGCCCAGCCCATCTTTGCCAAGCATGAGGCTGTATGGACATGAGTAAGAACTACTACCTTAATTTGGACACGCTAACAAAGGAAACAGAAAAAAAGTATCCGCCTCTTCGGCCTCTGTACTCGGTGTCTGGTCTTTGCTTCTGTTCCCTAGCCAAGTAAACATGCCGGGTAGTCTTCGTAGCGTACCTGAATACTACATATTATTTCGTACTGTAGCTCCATTGTAGTTTTTTGTCATAAAAGGTAATTTGAGGTATTTGTCCAAGAGTCTGACACTTGATCTAAGCTGTCAGCAGGCAAGTCGGAAAGGTATAAGTATTTCCGCTTCCTGAGGCACTCTCTTATTTATTCTTTTGTTGCCACCAAGCCAAGTTGAACACTAGTTACTTTGAACAGTCCTACTGTGTTTTACCAATACAAAAACTTCCATTGGTTATAGTAGTCCCATCCCATATTTATTCGCCAATGCTGTCAGCTAAGGTCCAGACCAACCTTTGCAGTCCAAAGCAAGCCGCTCGGCTATCCAGAGCTGTGGCACCCTTACTTTACAATTCTACCCTTGGGTATTCAACAGGAATCCGTGTTGGGCTTGTCACGTCGGTCCAACACAATGGAGGCTCACGAGCCTTTTCTACGACGCCCGTAACGAACTTCAAGGACTTTTTCCCGGCAAAGGAGACAGAAAATATCCGACGCACGCCAGCAGCATGGCCTCATCATGGCTACACTGAAGAGGTTAGTCGTAAAATTCTTCTTGTTACTATTCTGGGTCGGACATGATTGGCTCTTTAACCATAAAATATTTTTAGCTTTTATCTATATATTCCAGCTTTTTGGAAAAGGGAATATAGAACCAGCAGCTAACTAGTCAATTTGAATTATAGGAAATGCTCAGTGTCGTTCCCGCCCACCGCCCAGCCAAGACCTGGGGAGACTGGGTCGCCTGGAAGGTTATGCGTTCATGTAGATGGGGAATGGACTTCTTCACGGGGATGAAAAAAAACCAAAAAGTGGACAAAGCGAATCCGACTACTGCCGTCGACACGATCCAACCCCTAACAGAAAGCCAATGGCTGCTACGATTCCTATTTCTCGAATCCATTGCCGGTGTCCCTGGAATGGTTGCGGGAATGTTAAGGCACCTCCATAGCATCCGACGGCTGAAACGAGACAACGGTTGGATTGAGACTCTCCTCGAAGAAAGCTACAATGAACGAATGCATCTCTTAACTTTCATCAAGATGTGCGAACCAGGTGGGCATAACATCTAAGCAAGTATATTGATCTTGTTCATTAACATATTAGTTAGGCTGGTTTATGAAGTTCCTACTCCTTGGTGCTCAAGGGGTTTATTTTAACGGTCTTTTCTTGACTTACTTGATCTCACCGAAGATCACACATCGATTCGGTAAGCAAGACGCTTCATTGTTTTATTCTGTTAGAAACTAACTTTCCTTCAGTGGGCTACCTAGAAGAAGAAGCCGTACACACGTATACGCTAGCCATCAAGCAAATCGAAGACGGCCACCTTCCAAAATGGTCCGACCCGAATTTCGTCGTTCCTGAAATCGCTGTGAAATACTGGCATATGCCAGAGGGGAAGCGGACAATGAAAGATCTTATCTTATATATCCGAGCAGACGAGGCGGGCCATCGAGGCGTGAACCATACCTTGGCAAACTTGAATCAGAATGAGGATCCTAACCCCTTCGTCAGCGAGTACAAAGGTAGTCGAAGCCCGCCCCGACCTACCTTGAAGGCCGAAGGGTTTGAGCGAGAAGAGGTTCTCTAAATCTGTTGAAAGGTGCTTATAAGGTATCTTAACGACTTATTGCATTCAATGTCATTGACTCGGGCATAGAAAAGCGTACAATCGGTTGCGGTTATATCATTTGGCCTGTTAACATGTAGCATCACATTGGGATGGCGTTAGGTTTTGCTTTTGAGCTGGTTGGGAACGGTCGGGTTTATGGCAATGACTAGACATTAAAAAATACCCATAGAATGGACTCGGGTAGAAGGGCATACCGAGATTGCATTCTTCCAAGTTCATATCCCAACTCTTTATAGATTAGATTAGATTAATCTCTACATTCCACTTATTCACCAAACTCGAGACTTTACTGGGTTTCAATTTCTCGTAAGGCTTGTGATGACTACCTCGCGTTTTATGGATCTTTCTCGGGCTCGCCTCGGCATTCTCCAAGATAAGTGCCAATGTGACAGATGTTATTGCTTGATACAGTTTCAGTTTATATGATAGGTTCGCACTAAGTTGACAAACTCGCTCAGCTATTTGATTGGGCTTCGTTTGGTTGGTTCGGAAGACTCCCATTATCCCCGTAGAAAGACTACCTATCTTTAGTATAAAATAAGTCAAAGCACCCTTACAGGGGCCACCCTAATAGGGGCCACCTCAAATTTTTAAACCTTTAAAACAAACACCTTAACTTTAATTTAACATTATTTAATTAAATTAAATTTAATTAATTTACAATCTATTATATTTTAATAATAATATAGTCCTTTATTATTAACTTAATTAATAAAATTTTATTTTTTAAATTAATATTAAAATTATTAATTATAATTACACCATTTAATTTTTAAGTTTTTAATTATTTTTTTTTTATAATAGTTTTAATATTTATAAACATTAAATTTGAATTAAATAATATCTTACGCCATTTTTACAATTTTATATTTATTAATACTTTTTTTAAATACTCGGCATAAACTTTTATTATAATTAATTTCACAATAATTTTATTAAGGACCTTATTAATTTTATTAAATAAAAATTTTATTACGGATTTAACAAACATTATATTAACCTTAAATAACTCTTTAATTAAAATATTAATATCTTATAAACTTAAAAGTGTTATTAAAAGGATTAGGGTTATATTTTCGATAAAATTAAACTTTTTTAAATTAAAAATAAAGCTTAAGGAAGTTAAGGTAATATTGGAAGCCTTTTAAAACATAAACCGGTAATTTAATAGCTTATTTCAATTTTTAAAATAAATCTTTATAACCTTTTAACCAATTAATATATTATATTTAATTAAACATTCTTTTTATATTATTTAATAAACCATAATAAATTCCTTTTTATTAAGATTAAAAATATAATATAATTAACATATTTTAATAAATTTACAATAATAATTTTATTTTATTAATAAAAATACACCCATATTAATAATTTATAAAATATATAATAAATATACCGGAATAAAAACAACATAAACTTTATTTATAAAGTATTTTTAAAAGAATTTTATTATAATATAACTATTATAATTATTAAAAATTAATAATTACTATTATTAATAATTTAATAGCTTTATTTCTTTTAAAAAAACTTTATAAAATTATTTAAATATAATATTATTATTAATCTAATTATTAAAAAATATAATAAATTTCTAACTTTTAAATCTAATATCTTTATCGTTAAGAAACTATTATTATTATACATATTTATTTATATATATAATAAGAAAATTTAAAAATCAATTGTTACCATTAACATATTTAATAATTAACGTTTAAATTTTATTATTATAATTTTTAACCATAATATGCTTTTTATAAGCTTTGTTAATAATTATCTTATTATTCTTAACCCCTTTTATAATCCTTATT